TGATATGAAAAATGAAAGAAGAAAGTTGTTTTTTGCTTCTTGATTGATTTATTTTTTCTTAAAAGATGCTCTGGATGATAGTATTTTTAACATTAACCAATCATAATTCGACGGTCATCAAAAATCAAAGTCAGGTTGAACCTGCGGCAAGTGGTAGCAGTGTGTGAATAGATAAATCCTCGTAAAAACTTGACAGAAAATACCGAAATGTTTCGGTTCATTTTTTTTTTTTTTTTCGCCAGAAAAACTACAGCAGATTGGCCTTTTTCAAAACTTACACCCCTATCAATTCTTTATTTAAAACCTGAATAAAGCTGTTTTTGAAAATCTAAACAATCCCAATAAAATAATCTTTAGGTACATGTTCTATTATTCCTGGATCAAACGCTAAATAGACATGAAAATGTCCAAGTTTTCTATAAATAGACATTGAAATTTCCGAGTTTCCTAACAGTTCAATTAAATCATTGTTCTCTAAACCCTGTCGTGGGTTCTCGTGCATACGGATATATTCTTTTCCTTCGGATCCTACTCCTTACTTATCAACACGAACACAACTTTGCAGTTTTTCGAGATTACTCGCTAGGTTTTCTTTCGCCATCAATGTTGAACAATTTCTTCCACAAAGGTCGGTTTGCAAGTCTCAGTTGCTCTTTCAAATCAGAAATTTCGCCCTTTAAGTTCCTTAGTTCTCCTTCCCATCGCATACTCTCTTCTTTGGCTTCAACGCGTTCTTTTTCCAAATCAGAAATTTTTCTCTCCATTCCTGCCTTTTCCAGGTCAAGGATTTTTGTATTGAGCATATCCTCTTTTGCTTCGAATTCTTTAAGTTTCTCTTCAAGCTCAGCGGACCTTTTTTCTTCTAATTTTTGTAGCTGGCGAAAGAGAGATAGAAGATAAGCTTTAAATTTTTCCACCCATGGAGGAAATAAATTTGGCACATACTTAACTTACACGGTTCACTGAGGAGATAATTGTCAGAAAATAAGCCAACCTAATGAGACTCCTAATGAAGCATTACTTGTCTTTTCTTATTGCAACTAATATCTTACACCTTAAGGGTGCCTTTGATGTGCGC